GAGACAGGGGCTTAGAAAGATTATGACCTCTTGTTATGATATTATGTAAAATTTTGTAGAATCCTTGCTACTTATTTTAAAAACTTGAGCTGTTAGATTAATACGTGATATAATACTTAAATATTCTAACATGAGCCATCTAAAAAGTTATATTCCGACATATGCGTGATGGACCAAATCAAAAAAGGCCGCGATTACGCAGTACCGCTTATTATTCTTCTAAAAAAAATCGCGTTTACAACTTTCAATCAATCCACGACGTAGGTGGATTATTTCTTGATCGATCTAATTGACGAAGCTTGTCAGGATCTATATGTTTTTTTTACTCTCCAATATCTGTTAACCTAATGTGAACCACTCGTTTGACAAGTCAACCACCGTTGCTTCAACATTAAGCATTCCAGATTTATATGTGCTAATGTCGTGCATCCAAAGCTCTAAGAACTAAATTAAATATGGTTTAAGATACGGCCCACGGAACAAGTCTATAGCGGGGGGGGATTGGTCCAGCCAGGCGCAAGACTCGCACAAACTCAAACCATAAACGTCAACATGATGTGCCAATTTCAAAAGATAAGAGATGACGCCTCATGCTTGATTGGAACTAAGATTCCGAAATCGTGATTAAACAACAATTAGAACTTACGAAAAGTCAAATTATTAAACTTGGTACGGCTAAATCGGAGGTTTTGAAGTGCTCGCCGACGATAAATAGCCAATTAATGAGGCTTGTGACATCCGCAATTGCATGTTTGACCTCTCCAATGCTAGATTTCTCAAAGCCTAGAATCGGTCCATGCATGCCAAGTTACCTAATACCTCTTGTTAATAATATCGCAAAGTCGTACCGAGGGAGTGCAATTGCCTATCATCACGAAACCTTACTATACGTTTCTGGCCCCAATCTTAGGTTAAATACTCGATCAAAATATGTTCGTTGGACGGAGTATATCAGGCTGAATATTTCCTCGTAAAAAGCACTAAAAAGGAGAAAAGGAAAATAAAAAAGACGGGAAGGTTAAGATCAACTAATATGGCGAGAGTGTGGAGAGAGACAAATGCATTGTCGTCTTAAGATGATGACCGCTTCTAGGTACCATAACTACGATGCATGATCTCCCTATAAGACCAGAAGATTGATAGACAATCACAACACGAGCGATCGCTTATTCAATAAATATATCTTTTACACGCATATTTGGATAATTTGTGGTGTTGTTATCGTTTTTCGATAAAAGAAATACGACTTATTTTGTGAGATTAGGGTAATACCACGAAAAACCCTAAAATAGTACATCTGTAACAAATTTACCTCAAACTAATTTTTTGACCACCTCAAACTAGTGCACCTATGACAAATTTACCCAAATCTAATTTTTTTACCACAAAAAACCCCAAATTGGTACATTTGTGACAGATTTACCCTCCATTAAATTGAATTAATACCATGAAAAATCACAAATTGGTACACCTGCGACAAATGAACGGTAAAACCTCAAATTAGTACACTTGTCAATTGCCACGTATCATCAAATTCAGAAATTTGACAGTAAAATTTAACGAAAATTAACAAAGGGTAAAATCATCATACATGTACCAGTTTGAGAATTTTGGCAATCAAAAAATTAATTTGGGATAAATTTATTATAAATATATCAGTTTAGGATTTTTCGCGGTATTATCAAAAGATAGATTAGCCAATATATATATGGCAAGGTCCACTGAGGTTTCTACACAATTTTGACTTCTTGAAATCGGCGAGGGCCAGAATGGGCCAGGGGGAAATTACCACGTGCTCCTCTCTTTGACCGGGGAAATTAAATTCCTATTTTTGTAAAATTGACTTGCCGTCAGCCGTTTTTCTACCATTTTTCAAATAAATCGTTTCCTCTCAAATTCCTATAATGAAATCGGCTTTCACACTTGTCTGATTGACTACCATAATATATAGGACATATGCAGAAATTGTGTAAAGAAATGTAGTAGATGGTCCTAGCTTGTTTGTTTTCCTAACTTGCATGAGTGTATCACCGGTAGAATTTCTAAGTATAAGTTAATTATGTCAAGCCCCACTCAACTAATCGTTACATTAATCTTATGGATCAAATAAGTCACGAGTCAAAATCCGAATGAATGACCAAAACATGAAAATATTTGGACTTGGTAATATATGGAAAATCTAACTTGTAGTCGTGTGCCTAATCTAGAAAAGTTGTTCAGAGTGCGATGTTGTATTGAGATTGTTTTCGGCCTCAAAATCCAGTGTTTTCATGAGTTCTGGATGATTTTTTCTATTTTTCGAACTATTTATCTGTGTACACTTTCAGACCATTTTGTCTTTTCTCTATTAATGTTGTGTTTTCTTTGTTGATTAGGGTTGATTTAGTATAAATGCTAAAACATTTCAGACCATTTTGTCTTTTCTCTATTAATGTTGTGTTTTCTTTGTTGATTAGGGTTGATTTAGTATAAATGCTAAAACATAAATAGGTTTCATAACATATCAAACAATTATTTACTTAACACGAATTTTACAAATTAGTTATAGACCTTCTAATACATCAGTTCAAACTCCTCTTTCAAACATCGGGGTCGTGTATTAGGTATATCGTTACTTACAATTAGGTATTGACTAGGTTTTATATTGTTTACATAGATAATAATAATAATTGCCATGGAATATATTAAATCGACAAGCATGCAACCGAAATCTAGAAAATCACCGATCGCTCGATGAATAGACTCTAATTCCTCACAAGTTTAGAAGCTAAATCCTGCTGTCTCAAAGTAGACTGACCAATTCTTCTAAAAATCTCCTTAGTTCACTATAGTTTAGATGTTACAACACCACCTATTCTTTTATGGGTTAATATTACGGAAAATTCCAAACTGGTAGATCTGTAACAAATTTACTCAAAATTAATTTTTTGATCACAAAAAATCTCAAACTGGTACATTTGTGACAAATTTATCCTCAATTAATTTCCGTTAAATTGGATTAATATTTCGAAAATTCACAAACTGGTACGCCTGTGACAAACGGAGGGTAAAACCCCAAACTGGTACATCCGTCAATTGTCACGTGTCATCTAACTCTGCAATTTGACGTTAAGATTTAACGAAGGGTAAATTTGTCATAGGTGTACCAATTTGGAATTTTTTGTGGTTAAAAAATTAGTTTTGGATAAATTTATCACAGGTATACCAATTTGGGATTTTTGTAGTATTAACCCTTCTTTTAACCTAGGTTGTTCCAATTTAATAATTAAAAAATCAACTTCAAGGACGACAACTATATGGTAAAAAAACAATGAGCTAATTTCTGTTTTCATTGCTGACAAGTGGACGTAATCTATTCCGTGCAAAGTGGGAACAAGCACCAAATCAAGATATATGTATTTTTTTGCTGGCTGGGGAATTTAATTACATGATTGCATTATTGACCGATTTGACCCATTAAGCCTCTTCATCTACAGCTAATTTTAAAAGAATTTTTACGTTATAAATAAATCACCGAATCTTAGCCAAAAATAAATAAATAAATCACCGAATAAGGAGTATTATACCTCTTTAGACCCCACTATTCAACTTGAATATATGTGCTAGGTGATCGATTCACGAATTTGATTTGCAAAATGACGTGGTAAATAAATATATCAGCCAACATATATATATATATATATATATATATATATATATATATATATATATATTCAATGTCCAATAAGATATTGTCACATTATTTTGTAACCAAATTTAACATACTCACAGCAAATATATTTTGTAAATCAAATTAACTTTGTGAACCGCATTACCTTTGTTTAATCTAATTTAGTACATTATATTATTTCTTATTGATTTCCAAGATTGAAAAGTAACTCAATTAGGAACTGAGAAAAAAAAGTTATTTAAAAGCAACTGTCAGGCCATTCAATTACATATAAATTTGGGTAGGCCGTTCAATCAAATACAAATTTGGATTTTTTTTTACCAATTTGACCGGTTAAACCGGTTTTTTTTTTTTGGTAACCGAGGTGTCCGGGCCAGCTTGCGCGCACCTCGACTATTCCTCGGGGGAGACTTGCATAGCAACCCACCGCCATGGCTCCCTACTTAAATCACAAGTGCTCAGCCGGGGAATCGAACCTGGGACCAGTGCGCCTAACCATACAATCCCAAGTACGCCCTAACCAACTGAGCTACCCATGGGTGGGTGACCGGTTAAACCTGAATTTTGATAAATCATCTACGACTAATTCAAAAGAGTCTCTAGTTAATTGATAAATCAATGAAAAATGAGTTCTGGGTACTATTAACACAGATAATGCTACTGGCAGAGAATAACATGAATTTTGCTAGGTGATTTGATTAACAAATTGAATAAAAGAGCCATTAGTTAGCGCTTTAGGGATTTCTAGCATGGAAAGTGGAGATTACCTCTTCAAATTTTACCGACTACGTTGCTTCACGAGACTTACAGGCCATACCATGGGTCCTCAGATGTAACCAGGCATCCGCTTGTGTTTTAGGTTATAAAAAAAAGTAGTTCATCCTTTGTAAATCAAATTTGGCATACTTACCTCCAGTATACTATGTAGATACAAAAATTGATATTTTGGCCAAGAAATCATCAAATTTAGTAATACTTAATTGGCATTAATTTAACATAGAAAGGGAACATGATGAGCGTTGAAGAAAAGGTTATTTAAATTGCAAAAGTCAGGCAAGCTACTTTGGCTTCTTCAAACCCCTCGCAACGTCATCTGCTTTTCCTTTTGGGCCCGTGAATAGATTAGATTATTTCAAAGGACAGTAAATATAATATCGAATTCAACAGAAGATCAATGCACTATCTTTTGTCTGATATTCAACATCTTTATGTGTACTTTAGCCCACTAAAAGACAACCTGTGAAATCTGCAACTCCCAAAACCTCACTCGTTAGCATCTTACTTATTCTTAGTCTGAACTCCCAATCTTTTTAGAGAGAGAGGGGGGGAGGCTTTTTCCTGGAAGATGCCTAAGCAAGGTTTGAACAAGCACGTTGTCTTGACTTTTCAAGGTTAGATGCAAGTATAAAACGGCAATCTCGGCCGAGAAAACAACAACCAGCTCGCGAATCTTTGCTTGTCTATCATATAGAGAGAGAGAGAGAGAGAGATCATAGAGAGCTAAAAGAAGAGAGAGAGACAGATTTAGTAGCAAAAGCAAGAAAGAAGAAAGAAGAAGAAGCAAGAGAAGATGGTGAGAGCACCATGCTGTGAGAAGATGGGGTTGAAGAAGGGTCCATGGACGCCTGAAGAAGACCAAGTCTTGATCTCTTTCATCCAGAGGAATGGCCATGGAAATTGGAGGGCTCTTCCCAAGCAAGCTGGTAAATTAGTTTGACAATCAAAAATCTCTTGGATCATATTATTCAAGACTTAAAGCTAGGTCATTAGCCGCTTAATTAATACCTCCAAGAATTCATTATGAGAATCTAGCTAATCCGGGTTTTCGTCCTCTCTCTTGTTTCCTTTTTTTCTCTTTCCCAACTTCTTTTCCCTTTGGTCCTAAAATGGCGCATTTGCACAAATCACTACAGAATTTTAATTAGTTTGATCACTGCCTTGAATTTATTGCAACTATAGTTCAAGACCGAATTGCAGGTTTTAAAAGTTCAAAACCGTTTATATGTTGGACACAGTCTCCTCTTTTGCATGTTACATGCAAGCTTAGAAACATCACTATACAATACTAATTGATCTGTACGTTAGTGCTATATATATGCAACTTCGGTTTCTTTCTTTTTTTCTTTTTTTTTTTTTTGGTCCTTCGCTGATCTCCTTCTTCATTTATAGGACTCTTGAGATGTGGGAAGAGTTGCCGGCTTCGGTGGATAAATTATCTGCGGCCCGATATAAAGAGAGGAGACTTCAGTAGGGAAGAAGAGGAAACAATCATTAAGTTGCATGAAATGCTTGGAAACAGGTATTTTTCTTTATCAATCTTTAATCATCTCTGTTAATTTGGTGGACACTAAGTTGTTTCCGTCATGGTTTATATTTGCTGGTTAGCAAATACGAATTGAACGAACATCTCAAAGTTGAGAGGAACATTAAATAGGAGTGGGGCAGTTTACTGGTCCGACCCAATTGTGAGAGCGGAGCTCTATCAATCCTAACCCCGTGTTCTTTAAAAGTTTGAGCCCTTGGAGAACGATACAGATTATATTTTAATCTTAATTAACAAACGGCTAAATAAGTATACAGAAGGGGTTTTGTTTTTGATTGAAAACAACAAGTGTGCTGACAAAAGATTCTTTGGTTTTGAGCGCTAAATGGTGACTGCACATGGAGTGTTCTGCTTAATAAGCCAAGACCTGCATAAAATTCTGCATTCACTTATCATCTTCTAGGTTATTCATATACAACATTACAAGATCCTTACAGGTTTTTCTTCATTGCGAAATTTCAGGTGGTCAGCTATTGCAGCAAGATTGCCGGGGCGCACAGACAATGAAATAAAAAATGTGTGGCACACACATTTGAAGAAGAGGCTCCAACAAAATCAAGTCATGCCGGCGACGACAATGGCGAACAACAAATCATTCAATTCAGATTCTTCTGAGGCAACGGTACCGGGATTGTTGGAAAGTTCGATCCGTGCTCCGACATCGCCTGAACCTTCTTCGAGCGAAATGTCCTCTGTCACGGAAGCTTCGACGTCCATACAAACTGGAGACGTGAACAACGTCGAGATCAAGGGCGAGGACATGGAATACTCCATGGAGTCGTTCCCTTTAATCGACGAGAGCTTTTGGTCAGACGACTCAGGGTTTTTACTCGATGGGTACTCTAGCAACTTGTCCGAACTCTCCGGCATCAACGTAGATGCGCAAGCTCAGTACGCGGTGGCTCCGATGGCTAATAATGTGCAAGAATGGCCTTGTGACGGTCTAAGCCGCGTCGATAATGGAATGGACTTTTGGTACGATCTTTTCATAAGAGCTGGGGGTGCAGAAGAATTGCCAGACTTCTGAAGAGAGCGAAAAACAGAGAACGCAAAACAAAACAAATAGAATTGAAGGGCTTTGGCGGCTAGGCAAATTTGGAATTTGTGGGGTAGTATTCATTTTTCTCCTTTGACCGTTACTAAAGGGAAAGCTACAATTTTTCCCAACGTGGGGGCAACAATGTTGCTTCTTAAGTCCAATAGCCGTCGGACAAGTCAAAAGAGGGGAGGCCTTTCTGGTGGAGAGGATTGAATTCAATCCTGTTCAACACATTGGGAGTTTCCACTAGTTCACTTTTACAGTGAGAAGACACAAATGTTGACCTAGGAATAGGGCTTTGATAGAGAGTTTTAAAAGCATTTGTCGTTTCTCATTAGATGATAGATGTTAGCATCTGACAATTTCATTCGGATTTGTTCTCCTTTCCAAACAAGATTGAGAATGACTAGGTTCAATTTACATGTGCCAGAAATAGTGAAGAGCAAATTCTTTGGGGTTTTTACCCAAGTGTAACATTTTGATTCCTGAAACTGGCTATACATGCTGTTGTAGTTTCTCTATCTTTCCGTTCGTATACAAGTATGTAAAGTTTCATCTATGGGCACGATATCCTAGATGATCAAGCATGTATATTCATAAATTAGAATAAAGTATTTCCGAGGAAATACATTTCGAAAATATGTGAAATTGTTTAGTTTGGCAGGTATAAATGAATATATTTACACAAGTTCTATGTGCACATCTATGTGTCGAACCTTAAAATGGCAAAAAAAAAAAAAAAGGCATACGTCATTTTGAGAAAGATATTAACTTATGAGGCACCGATTATATTAAGCAAGATATCGACTTTATGATTATAAAATGTTATTATGCCAACCATATTGTGATTAGCATAGGTTTGGCAAACTGGAGGTTTGACATGTGCAAGATTAGTATTGTCCAATTGTAACGATACTAATAGGGAGAAAGAGAAGTAGAGGCAGCTAAGCCACGACCCTAGAATAGCAAGATATGGGAATCATGGCCAGACATGTGACATGGGCGGTTGGCAGACACGTGGCCAAAGAAGTTGGGATACATGGAATTCCGATTTGCATGTTGCTAAACCAATTAAAGTTTGAGAAAACAATGCGAAAACGATTATTTTCTAGTCAATTGTAGAAGTGATGGAGATTGTGACCAGACATGTGGCAGAAACAAATTAGGGGAAAAGTATCATAAAATTCCTAAACCTTTCAATTGTACAATTTGAGTCATAAACATTTTGACGATTTGTCAATATAGTCCATCCAATTAATTTTGATTGGAAATTACTGACATGAACACTGGCCCTCTTGTTAATGCGGACAAATTTTACAATTCTCTTCTAAATATTTTTATTATTTTCTTTTCTTTTCTTTATTTTTTTACAACTCCGAGCCGGCGAGGGCTAGCAACGCTTGCCTAGATTGGGTGAAGGTGTGGCGGGCCTCGCTAGCCATAGGCGAAGGTCAACACCCTTGCCTATTGACCAACAAGGCTCGCCACGCCCCCACAGGCGAGGGGCTCGTGGCCCTTGCCCATGGCTGGAGAGGGCATCGTGGCTTTTGCCCAGACCAAGCGAGGGCGTTGCGGCCCTCACAAGTAAACAGGCGAGGGTTGTGACCCTCTTCTGGATCTAGGTGAGGAACCAACAACCTCGCCTATGACAAGCGAGGGAGCAGAGGCCTTTGCCCAGACCACGCCAACCCACAATAGGAAAAAAAAAGAAAAAATAAAAAGTAATAAAATATTCATAAAAATTAAAAATTGTCTACGTTAACACTGCCATGCCACGTAGAATGGCTAACGTTCATGTCGGAAATTTCCGGCCAAAATTGGCAGGATGGATTATATTGACAAGTCATCAAAAGGTTTAGGACTCAATTGACATAATTGAAAGTTTATGACTAAATTGGTACAAATGCAATAGATTTAAAACTTTTTTGGTACTTTTCCCAATAAATTAGCATATATGAAAAAGTGGTAGACATGTTACTAGATACCGATACCAAGCCATGGTGCCCACACCTAAAACATGGAGGTCGCTAGACTAAGGCAAGGGACCTCCGCTGGCCATCAAAGGACTCAATTGGCACAATTAAAATGTTTTTGACTGAATTAATAAAAGTGCAATAGATTTAGGACTTTTTAGATAATTTTCCCTAAATTTGTCATAACTTCCAACCCACCAATAAGAGGCATTATTCCACCAAGTAGGATGACGGGAAACATACCCTTGTTTTTAGTTAAGTATGTAGGTAGATAATGTCCATGTTTGCAATCCAAGAATCAGAAGATTGGCCGCAAAAAGTTTCCTGCGATCAGGGTTGGAGTATGACATCGCCTTTATAATATCATAATTATTGAGTTTTGTGTTATTTCAAGTGGGGTTTATTTTTCTCCATTCTAGATTGGAGGAATCCTCTATCAAGACCTTTGATACGAGAGTTATAAATATGGATACTACCTTCATATAAACTTAACTAAAAATAAATGCGAGTGATATTCATGTTTATATCTTACTAATAGGAAAACTAGTTCGAGAAAATTTTCTCTGGCCACTTGAGATAGCCCTTTCAAATGCATATGTGGCATTGACCTGAAATCATACCATAAAACGCCTACACAAATATTTTCATGGATTAGATATACGGTAAATCTAGGTCTAGAATTTTGTATTCACATAGAATATCAAATCTGAAGTTTTTGTTAGTATGAAAAAAAAAGTCTGAAATTTTTTAAACCGAATCAAATTATCAAACCCTTGAAATCTGATTGAAAATTTGCACTCAACCTTGTTCCTTCATCTACATACAGCTCTATGATGAGCTTGTTTCTTAATTACAATCTTCATTGTAGTTGGTTATAATAGAATTGGTTTTTGTTCATTCTTCCGTCGATAATTTGACCATCAAATTAAAATTCATGAAGGCTCGGTAAGAAGACCTGCTCTAAAATCCCGGCGGTGACAATATATAAGGTTGAAAAAAGAGACATTGATTTGGATTTGGATGATACGTATTTCTGGGATCTTACCAAATCTTACGAGTAGTCTCGAGGTATTCACACCAAGATTCCAAGTTCGAATAACACACGAAAATCTCAATGGAAATCGTCATTTAGGGACGAAAATGCATCATAATAACAGAAACGGTCCTACATTTTGCCCTTAGCGAAACCGAAGAAAGTCTATCTTGTCGTCTGTTCTTGATTCAACCCCACTGAATGACAGGTTCCCAGCTTGCACCATCGTCAGATTCGTTCAATGCCCAATGCCACATGTAAATTTCTATTTTTGCCTTCCCACTACGTCAATGGCTCGTATTTCATTATTACACCATTAATGTTAATGTGATATGGCCCAACCCAACAAAAGGAAAATCCGTAGATCTCATCATGATGAATAGTCGTCCCTAAATGATGATTTCCATTGAGATTTTTTGTGGGTTTTTCAAACTTGTAATCTTGTTGCAAATACCTCAAGACTTCTTGTAAAACTTGCATCATCCAAGAAATACACAGACCATGCAAGTTGAAGTCAATGTCTTATCTTCTTTTTCTTTTTTTTCAAATTATAAGTCTTTCTTTCTTCCTTTTGCCCAAATTTTCAAACATAGGTGGAAACTAAGATCTATTAGTTGTGGATTTTTAGACATCAAGTTTGAATAACTTTTTGTTATTTGATGATAACTCATCTTCGCAACCTTCCTCCGATTCTTGGATAGCATTAGTTCGGAGTCCGATCCACATTTTACCTATCATTAATTTCCAGCTAAGTCTCCACTATCGTGAGCTAAAACACGGCAAATTCGCCGTGCTAGAATTTGACGGTCGGTGTCGACAAGTTTTAGATTTGCATGGCTTCCTACAAAATGATCTCACGATTGAAAAAAATTGCGTGGATCTAATGGCTGACAAGGCTGCGGTAAATTTCCTGTGCACAAGCTCAGCGGAGGGTAAATCGGCCTTAATTTTCACTAGAATTGTAAATTTACCTGCTACATTAGAAGGCATCATCTGTATTTTGCTTTGGGATAAGTGCACAATAACACTAATTATTTGTTTACAGTCGATTGGCTATGTGAAATTATTTTATTGAATTAGTTAAATCGTAAACATTTTTCAATTTTAACAATCATTCGTTATATGATTCAAATTTCTGGATAAAACATGCGTCGTGGAATTTTAATAAGTGAGCCAAATGTGATTTTTCGACCTTGAAGTTCCACCAATGATGAGTATAGAACTGGCATTATGTTACCCAGTTTTGGTATTTGCCAGGAGCCTTGCTCTTTTTTGGAGATCTCCTCGGATAAGTGCAGAAATAGGACTTGACATTTTGATATTGATTCAGAACTTTAGATTTTATTTTTGTCACTTGAGGACTTAAGATTTGAAATAGCACCAATCAAGTCTCGAGCTCACCACCGGAAGAATTCAGGCTCCGAAATTCTGACGTAGCTTCCACATGGAATATTTGGTCATTTTCCATGTATCATTTTGCGATGCCCAGATTCCGCTGACTGCGAGTTGAAGATCTAATTGTGGCTTATAATAATCCTCAATTGACCAACTGTCAAAACCTTAAAATCCTATGTTCGCACTTATTCCAGATATGGTCTAATCTTCTTTGGCAGGGACCTATGGCAGAAGAATTAGTACGTCGCACGGACACAAAATGAGGGATAATGTACTACAAATGTCATTTGACATATCAAATACATATTCCAAGAGACAAACTTAAGATACTATAGAGTTCTTTCGTCTGGACATTGAAGGATTCAATCAAGAGTACAACATCAACTATGAAGAAAATTCTTTGTTATGTTACTCATCTCACAATCATTAGTGCTCAAGATGAGCGTCTTAGTAAAAATTTAGGGGAAAGGAAAATGAATTACTTTGTGGCTGCTCAATTCCTTTTCTTCATAGACCCCAACTGAGCAGGTTCTCTTCTCTTACCTGACTTAGCTACGAGGCTCGGGCTAGGCCATCTCACAAATGGGCCTAGGCCCTTTCGCTTTGGGCCGTTGCCAATTGGCCCATTCAGTATTCTCACTACCTATTTTTTTCTTGGTCAACTAATTGTTTCTTACTAACAAAAAGAATAATTGTTTCTTTTAGATTATGAAACATAAAATCGGGTTATATGATCTATTTTAAATTGTGCTATGGTGTGTTTAGGTAATTGGTTCGAGCCAGAAGGCGAAATCTGAACATTGAGATTGAAATAGTGATAATGACATTCTCAAATTTTCGGTTCAGGAATCGATAGTAAATGTCTATGTTTAAACCAATTTATGCCCCTTGAGGATGTTGTCCTAATAATTTGGGATCAGAGAGTTATTCCTTTTTCTTTTTGGCAACTCAATCCAAAACAATGGAATTTTACGTACTTTGTTGCAATTTCAATCCACTCGGAATTGCAAAAGTTTAATTTGGTAACACATTGAAATCGCCAATCAAAATGGATAACATCAACAACCCATGTTCTTTTAACCCG